GACGGGTGTGACAGTAGGGGTTTGTTATGATGTGGTAGTAGCAGTGTCTGGACGGGTGTGACAGTAGGGGTGTGTTATGATGTGGTAGCAGCAGTGTCTGGATGGATGTGACAGTAGGGGTGTGTTATGATGTGGTAGTAGCAGTGTCTGGACGGATGTGACAGTAGAGGTGTGTTATGATGTGGTAGTAGCAGTGTCTGGACGGGTGTGACAGTAGGGGTGTGTTATGATGTGGTAGTAGCAGTGTCTGGACGGGTGTGACAGTAGGGGTGTGTTATGATGTGGTAGTAGCAGTGTCTGGACGGGTGTGACAGTAGGGGCGTGTTATGATGTGGTAGTAGCAGTGTCTGGACGGATGTGACAGTAGGGGTGTGTTATGATGTGGTAGTAGCAGTGTCTGGACGGATGTGACAGTAGTGGTGTGTTATGATGTGGTAGTAGCAGTGTCTGGACGGGTGTGACAGTAGTGGTGTGTTATGATGTGGTAGTAGCAGTGTCTGGACGGATGTGACAGTAGTGGTGTGTTATGGTGTGGTAGTAGCAGTGTCTGGACGGATGTGACAGTAGGGGTGTGTTATGATGTGGTAGTAGCAGTGTCTTGGCGGGTGTGATAGTAGGGGTGTGTTATGATGTGGTAGTAGCAGTGTCTGGACGGGTGTGACAGTAGGGGTGTGTTATGATGTGGTAGAAGCAGTGTCTGGACGGATGTGACAGTAGAGGTGTGTTATGATGTGGTAGTAGCAATGTCTGGACGGGTGTGACAGTAGGGGTGTGTTGTGATGTGGTAGCAGCAGTGTCTGGACGGATGTGACAGTAGGGGTGTGTTATGATGTGGTAGCAGCAGTGTCTGGACGGGTGTGACAGTAGAGGTGTGTTATGATGTGGTAGTAGCAGTGTCTGGACTGATGTGACAGTAGGGGTGTTTTATGATGTGGTAGTAGCAGTGTCTGGACGGGTGTGACAGTAGGGGTGTGTTATGATGTGGTAGCAGCAGTGTCTGGACGGATGTGACAGTAGGGGTGTGTTATGATATGGTTGTAGAAGTGTCTTGACGGATGTGACAGTAGGGGTGTGTTATGATGTGGTAGTAGCAGTGTCTGGACGGGTGTGACAGTAGGGGTGTGTTATGATGTGGTAGTAGCAGTGTCTGGACGGATGTGACAGTAGGGGTGTGTACATGTGGTAGTAGCAGTGTCTGGACGGATGTGACAGTAGGGGTGTGTTATGATGTGGTAGTAGCAGTGTCTGGGCGGATGTGACAGTAGGGGTGTGTTATGATGTGGTACATGTGGTGGGATAGTAAGACTCTTAACACCGCAGTTACATATTTGTCCGCACCTGTCAGAAAATATGACTTGTCATTAAACATTCAGGTAGCAATTGATTTCATTTAAAGGAGCAAATTGAAGAAATTATATTTTAATAACCTTAGCAAAAAATTGATACAGTTTTACAAATGCTTTATTTGCTTTAAATTGATTTCTTTTATATGTTTGTTTTGAAGTAAGGCTCTTGTTTTATTGCCATGCCTCGTCATTACCGGGGTCATTAGTCTGCATTATTCATACAGTGTCTCTTCTTCATGAAATGTTTCAGGTCGTCCATTAATAAACCATACTGTAATAACACCATTAAGCCAATATTATTGAGTTCCTAAATGGTGTCATATTTTATTTATAACCCAATTTTCCTATTTTTCTATCTATTAACTCATATTAATTTTATCAAAAAAACTAAATTGTCTCCGAAAGTTCTTGAGAAAAACAAGTATGCTTCAGACTGTGCAAAACTATTAAAAAATTACAAAAATTACATTGTTGTATTTCTTAAAAAAATTGAAATGAAAAAATATATTTTTGTTAGCTGTAACTGAAAAACTATGTAATCTCGATAACAAATCTTGAGTAAAATCTGGCCACCCGATCCTCTTTAGTCGACATTTACTGCATGCTTTGGGCACTGCGATAGTTTCAAAGATCAACGACGTCGGGGTACGATAACAAGCAAACAACCAACGATCCCCTTTCTTCAACTCCTTGGACAAGTATGGGGTTCTGTCCCGTGAGGAATCAGGGCTAAATTTGCCTCAAACAATCTATGCCGGTCGTAGGTGACCAGATGGATCGGTTGGTCTGGCTTGGTAACGTGGTTGATGGCATGCCATCGTACCCCGAAGGCGTGGATCACTGGAAAGTTAAAGACATGTGCTCCTTTAACGTCACACCCAGAACATAGGAGACCCGTGATGATCCGGGTTAGAATAGGTCTTCAGCAACCAATGCTTGTCGTAAGAGGCGACCAACGGGATCGGGTGGTTTGTCTCGCTGACTTTGTTGATGCATGTCATCGTATCCCAATTGCGTGGATCGATGCTCAAGCTATCAATCACTGGATTGTTCGGTCTAGATTCGTATATTTACAGGCCGGCGTCATGATCATATAGCTGGAGTATATTTGAGTGCAGCGTTAAACAACAAACAAACAATGGGTCCTGGGGCCATTTCAACATCCACGACCCGTGAAGATGCGGGGTAGAATAGGTCTTCAGTAACCCATGCTTGCCGTAAAAGGCGACTATGCTTGTCGTAAAAGGCGACTAACGGGATCGGGTGGTCAGGCTCGCTGACTTGGTTGATGCAGGTCATCGATCCCAATTGCGTGGATCGATGCTCATGATATCAATCACTGGATTGTCTGGTCCAGACTTGATTATTTACAGACCGCCGTCATATTGCTGAGTGTGGCGTAAAACAACCAGCCAACCAACCAATCAACATCCACGCGACCCTGACCACCGGTTCTCAGTAGTCGACTCCTGTGGCAAGCTTTGGACACTGGAATCATCTTTACCCAGACCTCCCCGTGGATAACATAATGGAAGACGTTGGCGTCTTATGGAACTATGGAGCCGCTGGAAAAGAATATATTCAGGCTGTTTTCTTTCAGACAATGGAACGGAATGCAGCACCTTTGTCCCCTGTGTGCATATACACGATCTCGTATCGATTTGCTTCTTTGTTTAACTCTCTTCAGTGCATATCCACAACATTGAATGTAACTTTAATGAAATTGTATAACAGTAAATGCAACGATCAAAGCACGTCGTCTACACACCGATCCAAATGCTGAATAATTCAGTAGCGTACATCGAACCTTATAACAAGCTACATGACACATACCTCGCTTGGGACAACCAACTACATGTACACATTGTCTGGGATCAACCGGCCAGGGCAAGACTAAATTTATACAAAGTGAGCTTAACCCTTCAATCATCCTTGACGTTAATCGCGCTGCAGGCGAACTCAAGCGCCATACCATACTGGGTGTATTACCGATCAGTTGGTAATGTTTGAAATTTTTTCTGTTTGTTGTTTTACGCCGCACTTAGTAATATGACAGTTATAAAACGACTGTAAATTATCAAGTCAGGACCAGACCAACCCGTGACTGATATTATGAAGAACGTCCCATGTCTATGGGGTAATATGACACGCAATCAACCAAGTCACCGAGCCTGACTCCCAAATTCATAAAGTTCCTTTTTTCACGGGGGGCACGGGTGGCCCTGTCGTCTAAGGCGCCGCAATGCGCTGTGCAGAGCTGCGTCCCTTGGGCACGCCAGAAACCTATGATTGTGGGTTCGAATCCCGGTTCGCCCCGATTATGTTTCTAGGTTTGTTAGCACGATACCAATCCTCGTGGGTTTCACCGAATTGGTAAACGTCTGAGACCTGCATCACTTCGGGCTTTCCTCCCACATTATGATGACAAGCCGCGATATAACTGGAATACTGTTAAAAGTGGCGTTAAATCCAACGCACCTACTCCATTTTATGACATATGTGGATTATGGGAACCAATAAGTTTTTTTTACAGGAATCCCACCCAAACATCTGGGATTCGAACCCATGGTCATTCGATTTAGGCACACCTGTTGCAAGCAACTCTGATCTGTTGTTGTTTGTTCTTTAACGCCGCAATATTCCAGCTATATGACGGCGGTCTGTAATTAATCGAGTCTGGACCATACAATCCAGTGATTGACATCATGAGCATCGATCCGAGCAACTGAGATACGATGACATGCATCAACCAAGGCAGCGAGCCTGACCACCCGATCCCGTTAGTCGCCTTTTACGACATGCATAGTTGCCTTTTATGGCAAGCATGGGTTGCTGAAGACCTATTCTACCCCGGATCTTCACCGGTCAGGTGTCTTAGAAGAGGTTGGCCACTACTGACTATGAGATATTTTGAACCGAATACTAATGATCGACTGTCTCATATTAATTTAGATCATGGTGTCTTCTCCGTGATTATGTTTCTATGTTTGTCCGTTACCCGTGTTCTTGGGTTTCTTGGTAAAGTGGTAAATGACACCTGCATCACTTCAGGATTTAACCTAACATCAGGTGAGGTGAGGTGAGGTGAGGTGAGGTGAGGTGAGGTGAGGTGAGGTGAAATGGGGTATAACGTCGAGTCGAAGATTATTGCACTTATATAGCGACGTGTGTGTGTGTGGCGGCTTGTACTAGTCCGGACTAGTGCCGATTTTATAGTGCTAGCACACTGAGATACCATGCCGCAGTTTAACATGAATAGCCCACTCAGACACAGTATACTGACTCCGAGCCGACCAGTCCTTGTCTTAGCCCCTTAAGGCGTCCTCTGGTATGGCCGGGGATCGAACCCCGGACCTTCCGCTCTCCTGAAATACTGTTCAAAGCGACGTATAACCCTTCACTCACTCACTCACTCACAAACCCACCCACCCACCCACCCACTCACTCACTCCATGGCAATATACACGTATTTAGGGGTCCGTATTTAGGTATGTACGGTAGCTTTCCGTTAGTAGTCAGTGCTGATCGGTGGATTACGGGGCTTTGGCCTTAATCAGTGCATCTGTGAAACTATATACCGCACGACAATAATCATACCCTAGACAAGTATGTATCGATTAACAAGGAGGGGACGGTGCATATGGCGACGTACGTGACAACAGTCGTTAAACTGTGAAGTTGGTCTGTAACGCAATAACCCCTGTCAATTCTTTCCTGTTCATATATAAGGTAGTCTGCATGGCCAACACACCGGTAAGGACAGCCCTAGGGAATAGCTGTACATTGTAGTCACCGATAAGCCGTGTTCGGAGGTAAAGGGTGAGTAGATAGTTTAGTGTTCCGTAAGAACGTAGATGGAGAGAGAGAGAGAGAGAGAGAGAGAAGAGAGAGGGAGAGAGAGAGGAGAGAGGAGAGAGAGGAGACAAGGAGAGAGAGAGGAGAGAGGGGAGAGAGAGAGGGAGAGAGGAGAGAGAGAGGAGATATTAATAGTACTTTAACAACAACAACAATAATAATAATTTAGCATTCCGTACGAGGGGGGGGGGGGGGGAGAGGGAGAGAGATAGAGGAGAGAGAGGAGACAAGGAGAGAGAGGGGAGAGAGAGGATATAGAGGAGAGAGAGAGAGAGAGAGAGAGAGAGAGAGAGAGAGAGAGAGATTAATAATACTTTAACAACAACAACAATAATAATTTAGCATTCCGTACGAACATAGATGGTGAGAGGGAGAAGATATATGTATATACATATCTATGTATATAAAATAATTGATTGGCTCCTCCTATCAAGGAAAGAGTGCGTGTGTCTTGCAGCAGTGCCAGTTGAGAGAAAGACCAAAATGACAGTCATCTGAAATGCAAGATATCTCACAGTATATGGGTCGTACTCACAAGCAACCCTTAACAGGAAGCTGAGTATACGTCTGGGTATTAACTATACATGCTTCCTTCCACCTGGGAGGTGCGGTTTATTAATAGAGAATACAAACTATGAAACGGAAATTCGACCCAGCCAGAAATATGCTTAAACAGCTATCTTAGAGAGCATTGAACCGTATCGCCCTTCGTGAATCAGCCGTGATCTAAATCCTTGTGGCATAGCTATGGTTTTAAATTGTTTTAAATTGTTAATGTTCAGACGTTAAACTTGTTTTGGTGATGTTGTTTGTTGTGATACCTAAGCTCATTTCTTGAGCTTAGATTCTATACGTGTGTTGATGAAATACGCTGAATGTTTCTGTTCCGTTTTCAAACACGTTTAGTGCTAAACATGTTGGACATGTGTTTAATACCGAAACTGGAGTGATTGAGTGATTGAGTAGGATTGAGTGAGTGAGTTGGTGAGTCATCGTGTGATTGAGTGTGGGTGTGAGTGGGGGTGATAGTGTGTGTCAGCTTGGGAGATGATGATGAATTACTTTGAAAATTGGGTTTTAACGGCCCTTTTAACAGTATTTCAGTTATACCGCGGCGTGTCAGTTTAATAGGGAGGGAAAGCCCGAAGTGATGCAGGTCTAAAACGTTTACCACGTCGGTGAAACCCACGAGCACGGGTATAGTGCAAACATAATCGGGGCGAACCGGGATTCGAACCCACAATCATAGGTTTCTGGCGTGCCCAAGGGACGCAACTCTGCACAGCAAATCGCGTCGCCTTAGACGACTGGGCCACCCGTGCCCCCTGAAGGAAAGAGGAAAAATACCACGTAATGATTACAATAAATAACATAATAGCATAAGATTTAACAATAATATATAGTCTGGAAGTTAATTTAAGGTACCGACGTTTACTACAATATCTGAAAAACGATTTGACCTACTCGTTGGTATGAGATGATTAAACAGTCATACATAAAAATCTGCCTATTTAGCTATCACTATATTTCATCAACAACCAGACCTGTTCGTCACGGGTGGAACGAGCATTCAATGTAACAGCCATCTGCATAATGCTACCCCTGCGTCACAGGGTCATATGACACAGTTGAACCAATCAACTCAACTCGAAAGGTTGCACGGGAATCACGCACGTGACGAACAGGTCTGGTTGTTGATGAAATATAGTGGTAGCTAAATAGACAGATTTTTTATTCATGCACCGATTGTCTTTAAATGTAATATCCAGTTATGTATGACTGTTTAATAATCTCATACCAACTTTGACTGGAGTAGGTCCAATAGTTTTTCAGATATTGTAGTAAACGTCGGTACCTTAAATTAACTTCCAGACTTATAGTGTCTGTTAAAATACAAATTTTTTAAGGTAAATCTACTTAGGAGAGCAGACACTTAGTGGTTTAGTGATGATCGTGGTGGAAATAAGGTGGCTTGTGTGAGCTCAACGGTACGCACTGATTCGCTTGTATGAGTTGTCTCCCTTTGAATGTTATGCATGTCATTATGGGGGTAGTTTCCATTGAAATGCTTGATATGTTTTTTCCGCCAGGTTTCGTTGCTACATCTTTGATCTCCGCCCACCCTCTACATCAACGCACGCCCTGACACCCCCCAGGGTACATCATACGTTATGTATGGATGCTTACAGTATCCTGATGAAAAAATATCTGAAGCAGCCAACATTCGCATTGCTAAGCCATAGTTAAGAAGTATATACTCTGTTCAGTGTTAGAGTCACATTTTATAAAAAACAAAATAACGTTTTTGTGCTAAAAATCCTACTTTGCTAATATTTACACAGCGTGCAATATATGATCTATTATTGTACTGAAGTCTGGTAACTTGAATACACAGCAATTGTGGTGAAATGTGGCAGTAATGTCACCTTGAAAATAATTGAGTCTACATAATTTGGTAGTTGTGTCACTTGAATTTAATATATAGCCAAATGTGACTATATTTGACAAGGACAAGGACCATATGGCAAATAAGAAACTAAAGACCATAAGATTGAGCCATAAAATTTGGCCTTTTAAATTAAGAAACTACGTTTCAAAGTAGAGAAATTAAGAATTCAATACGGCAATTAAAACTGAAATGTATTTCACAGGCCATGATCAACAACAATTATGACAAATCACGTACATGCATTATAAGGAATTATTAAACACACGCGCATGTGCATGTACCTTCTTAGGCATAGCAGCATTCACAAGTGTTCATTAAGTTCAGCTGTATGGTAATGTTTCAAGTATTAATTTTTGTTGAATTTTATTTTGTTGCTTTATTAAGTCCATCGAATACCTTATTCACATCTAAAAATAATACAACTGAGGCTTATCTAAAATAAGAAACTAATCTGGTACGTTTTACGAGCTATTGTCTTATGTTTTGACGTTTTGATAAGACAGGGGCGGTCGGGTAGCCTAGTGGTTAAAGCGTTCGCTCGTCACGCCGAAGACCCGGGTTCGATTCCCGACATGGGTACAATGTGTGAAGCCCAGTTCTGTTGTTCCCCGCCGTGATATTGCTGGAATATTGCTAAAAGCGGCGTAAAACCATACCCACTCACTCACTTTGTTAAGACATGTCAGTAATATTATGTTTCAATCAATACTTTTGATAACCGACATCACACATCCAATCTATCCCCTCGCCAGTCCAATACTTACATCCAATCTCATTTTATAACCGAAAAAACAAATGCCAGTGATTAATGTTAAATGTAGATTTAATCATAGTCTGATATATCAACATATAATATCATTATTATGGTACCAGGACCTCCGATTGAACCTTGAAGAATGCCTTCCCCTGAGTGTTTCCAAGTTAAATTGTACCATCTTGTCTGTTTTATATACTAGACGAGATCGTCCCTTTATTATTTATACCATTTGGACAAATCTTTAACCGGAACATAAAGGCTTTATATGTTATCATGCTCTGTAGAATGTCCATACCTATATCTTAAGTGATCGTTTATATTATTCTGCATTAGCCTTTTATCTCTAACAGAAGCAATGAAGGAAAATAATGGTTATAAACTATTCAGAGACGTCTTTTAAAAGTACTACGAATGAAGTTATCAGTGTTCCTAGAGTATACTGGTCTATGTGGATAAGGCTGTGTATTTTACCCTCCGTGTGCGAAAATGGTTGTACCAGAAGCGCCCGTAAATGTGTGGTTGCTGGTACAGTTCAGTGTATGATCAAAGAGTGATTGAGTAAGTTTGGTTTGGCGCCACTTTGAACAATATTCCAGTTATATCACGGCGTGACAGCTTAATGTGTGAAGAAAGTCCGTTTTGGTGCAGTGGTTTACAACTTTGGTGAAGCCAATGAACAAGGGTATAATTCCGGACAAACCTAGAAACACGATCAGGGCGAACCGGGATTCGAGCCCACAATCATAGATTTCTGTCGTGTCCAAGGGACACAACTCTGCAGAGCGAATTGCGACGCCTCAAACGACTGGGCCATCTGTGTCATCTTAGGCGCCGCAATTCTCCGTCCATTTCTCGAGGATCTTATGATCATGGGTTCGATCCCAGATTAGCCGGGTGTGATTCTTGGTTTGCTAGCACCATATCCATGTTTATGGGTTAAAGTGGGAAACGTCTCACGCTTTCAACACTTCGGACGTCCCTCCGCCATGAAGCTGTTGCGACGTGAAAAGACTGAAACACTATTTATTGATGAAAAATATGTCTCAGTAACAAGAATATATCACCTCCCTTCTCTTTCACTTGCCTGATTAGCAGGCTGTTATAATTAGAATCTGGATATTCGTACATTTTGTTTGTTTTGTTTGTAGGTTTGTTAACGCCACACTCAACAATATTCAAGCTATATGACGGCGATCTGTAAATTATCGAGTCTGGACCAAACAATCCCGTAATTGATATCATGAGCGTCCATCTACTTAAGAGGCGAATAACGGGATCGGGTGGTCAGACTCGCTGACTTGGTTGAAGCATGTCATTGATCCCATTTGCGTGAATCGATGCTCATATTATCAATCACTGGATTGACTGGTCCAGATTCGATTATTTACAGACCGCCGTCATATAGCTGGCATATTGCTGAGTGCGGCGTAAAACAACAAACAAACACAAAATTTGGTGGGATACGTATCAAGTCATCGAGCCTTACCACCCGATCCCATTAGTTGCATCCGACGACAAACATGGGTTTCTGCATCATGACCGATTCTAACGCGGATCTTCACGGTTGCCATTAGCAACGATAAAGCATTCTAGTTAAATAATGAAAATAAATAATAATAATAATTCGTATAATGTAACAAGTAACAAAGCATGCTGACAACACACGTGCATATGTACATAAGAGTTAAACTAATTAATGTTTTAAGTCTTGACTGAAAAAGAAGTGACGGAGCTGTTCTTGGGGCTTTTGGAAGAACATTCCACTTCTGAGAAGCAGTTACTCAAACAGATCGGGAACCACAAGATTTAAGTTTATATGTGGGAATGACAAGCTGAAATGTGTCACCAGACAGCTAGGTACTAGATGGCTGATACACAGCCATGTTTCATTTACACACCTGTACGTTAGGGTTAGCGACTTGAAGTCAGTTCTCTCTGCAATTGGCAGACAATGGGATATTAAAACATGTATGTTGGTTTGTTGTTTTACACCGCACTCAGCAATATTCCAGCTATATGACGGCGGTCTGTAAATAATCGAGTCTGGACCAGCCCATCCAGTGATTGATATCATGAGCATCGATCCACGCATTTGGGATCGATGACATGCATCAACCAAGTTTGCGAGCCTGACCACCCGGGCCCGTTAGTCCCTCTTACGACAAGCATAGTCATCTTTTACAGCAAGCATGGGTTGCTGAAAGCCTATTCTACGCCGGAATCGCATTCTTTAGTGTATTAAACAGCACTAATGAGATTCTGGGGACCTTCCCAGGACCCTCTTGAGGGAAATTACAGGGAACAAATAATCAATTTGATGTGCCCTAATTTTTATTTTCACCCTGCAGGAAAGAACTTCGAGTGACCATGTCCGCGCGACCTCTGTCTAGCGTCAGCACACGGACCACGGCCAGTGCCTCATCTGCATCACTCCCTGCTCATCAGTCGTGGGCCCCATTCAGTGGGCCTGTCATGTTTACAGGTACGTCGGTCAGCGGTACAGCGACCTTTCTATATACATGTATATGAGCAATACTATACTCCTGCCGTATCTCTGTTAAACATGTGCATGTCAGATTAATGTGGGAGCACATACCGAAGTCTTAGGCCATTCTCAGCTTCGGAAAAGCAGTGGGGTGTGGGGTGTGGGGTGTGGGGTGTGGGGTATGGGATGCGGAATGTTGGATGCCTGATGTGGGATGTTGGATGTGCGATGCGGGATATGGGATGCGGGATGCGGGATGTTGGATGCGAGATGTGGGATGTGGGATGTGGGATGTGGGTTACGGGATGTTGGATGCGGGATGCGGGATACGGGATGTGGAATGCAGGATGTGGGATACGGGATGCGGGATGCGGGATGCGGGATGCGGGATGCGGGACGCGGGATGCTGGATGCAGGATGTGGGATGCGGGATGTTGGATGCGAGATGTGGGATGCGGGATGTTGGATGCGGGATGTTGGATGTTGGATGCGAGATGTGAGATGTTGGATGCAGGATGTTGGATGTTGGATGTTTGATGCGAGATGTGGGAAGTGGGATGCGGGATGTTGGATGCGAGATGTGGGAAGTGGGATGCGAGATGTGGGATGCGGGATGTTGGATGTGGGATGTGGGATGTGGGATGTGGGATGTGGGAAGCGAGATGTGAGATGCGGGATGCGGGATGTGGGATATGGGATATGGAATGTGAGATGCGGGATGTGGGAGGCGAGATGCGAGATGTGAGATGTGGGATGTGGGATATGGAATGTGAGATGCGGGATGTGGGATGCGGGATGTGGGATATGGAATGTGAGATGCGGGAGGCGGTAGGCGGGATGCGAGATGTGAGATGTGGGATGTGGGATATGGAATGTGAGATGCGGGATGCGGGATGCGGGATGCGGGATGCGGGATGCGGGATGTGGGATGTGGGATATGGGATATGGAATGTGAGATGCGGGATGTGGGAGGCGAGATGTGGGATGTGGGAGGCGGGAGGAGGGATGCGAGATGTGGGATATGGAATGTGAGATGCGGGATGTGGGAGGCGAGATGTGAGATGCGAGATGTGGGAAGTGGGATGCGAGATGTGGGATGTGGGATGTGGGATGTGAGATGAGAGATGTGGGATGTTGGATGTGGGAGGCGAGATGTGAGATGCGGGATGCGAGATGTGGGATATGGAATGTGAGATGCGGGAGGCGGTAGGCGGGATGCGAGATGTGAGATGTGGGATGTGGGATGTGGGATGTGGGATATGGAATGTGAGATGCGGGATGTGGGATGCGGGATATGGGATATGGAATGTGAGATGCGGGAGGCGGTAGGCGAGATGTGAGATGTGGGATGTGGGATATGGAATGTGAGATGCGGGATGCGGGATGCGGGATGTGGGATGCGGCATGTGGGATATGGGATATGGAATGTGAGATGCGGGATGTGGGAGGCGGGATGTGCGGGATGCGGCATGTGGGATATGGGATATGGAATGTGAGATGCGGGATGTGGGAGGCGGGAGGCGGGAGGCGGGAGACGGGATGCGGGATGCGAGATGCGAGATGCGAGATGCGAGATGCGAGATGTGAGATGCGGGTTGAAGGATACGAGATTATAAACAAGATATCAAATTTAAACACCACATACATTCATTTAACTTTTAGCTGTGATACATCAGTATTACGTTCAGTGTAACATTTTTACTGATATCTTCTATTTTTAGTTCAACCCGACCTTGTATTTGCACAAATATGTTGACTCTTTTCAAAGTCGAGTTAAGTCTCGTCTTTACATTTTTCCCAAAGCAATACTTGAACTGACACGATGACTGAATAACCTCCACAAGTCTATATCAATAGCGACTACTTGCGGCAGAGAATGCTATTAAGTTCTCACTGACTGTTGGGAATTTAATTATTAACAATAACAGGATACACGCTTCCTAACAAGCTGAATGGGTCATTAATGTAAGCATACTACAGTAAATATTGAGCGGATATCATCCAAGAAGGCTTTGTTGAACGTTTCAATGCTTACTGCAGATGTAGATTAAATAGTTAATACTCTACGGTCGATAGCTTTACTCTCAGTGAACTGGCGTGTACTGTGTGTTGTGTGCTGTGTGTTAACGTTGTGTGTTGTGCCAAGCCACTGATCCCCGTGTTCAATAAGCTTTCACAACAATTGTAATGGGAAGGAATGAAAAAAATGCACTATGTCACTTGACCTAGGAGCAATCTGATCGTGAAGTCTTCGGAACATAAACGTCAGACCCAGATCAGGTGTAGACCTTTATTACCAGAAAACCTTGTTTCTTGCTCAGGTGAGGTGAAATTGGGTTTAACGTCGCGTCCAAGATTATTGCGCTTATACAGCGACGTGCATGTACGTGTATGTGTTTGTGTGGCTGCTTGTACTAGTCCGGACTGATGCCGATTTATAGTGCTAGCTCACTGAGATACCATGCCGCAGTTTAACATGAATACCCCACTCAGACACAGTATACTGACTTTTAGCCCTTTAAAGCCGAGCGCCAGACAGGCTAACAACAAGTACCATCTTTTAACGTCTTGATCGAACCCCGGACCTTCCGCTCTCCGGGCGGACGCTCTACCACTAGACCACGGAGGCGGTCTTCTTGCTCAGACGTTGTTTGATCAAGGTTACAACATTCAAGGCCTCAGTAAAGCTTTCAAAACGTTTTATAGTGGACATGTTGGTGGACATTTCCAAATTTTACGCATCAGTGACAAAAGTGATGTCCGATGCACTTCCCTATTTCTCTTGTACCATATGTTTCCATGTTTTTTTCAGGTTAACAATTGACTTGCCTTTGCATGTGTTTGTGACGGGTGCAACCGGTAAGGCAAGATAGGCTCACCATTTCGCGAACACCTGGTATCATTATATTACTATTTGATAGTGATTCATAAACACATGCTCATGATATAGTCGGAATTGTAGAATCGCCTCTGCTTTATGCAAAGATTTCTATTGGCTATGGTAAGGGTTTTGTTGCTAATATTTATAGCATTCTTTACAATAGTACGTGATGGTACTGAAAACTTATCGGTTGTAACTTTGTACCAGAAGACATACAACTAATAATTGGCCACATGTGAGTGAGTGAGTGAGTGAGTGAGTGAGTGAGTGAGTGGATGGGTGGGTCGTTGGATGGGTGAGTGAGTGAGTGAGTGAGTGAGTGAGTGAGTGAGTGAGTGAGTGAGTGAGTGGGTGGTCTGAATCATCGTCCTTCTAACTACGATGTAGGATGGTGGTTGTCGGTTTTGGGTTTTGGGTCCAAAGTATGTTATCCTTGTCCTAAGAACGGACTTGTGAAGAAAGGATATGGTAGTGAGACTCTGTGAAATGAGTGGTTACGTGTCATCGCGCCTCCATGGCTTGGAGTGAGTGAGTGAGTATGGTTTTATGCCGCTTTTAGCAATATTCCAGCAATATCACGGCAGGGGACACAAGAAATGGGCTTCACACATTGTACCCATGTCGGGAATCGAACCCGGGTCTTCGACGTGACGAGCGAACGCTTTAACCACTAGGCTACCCGACCGCCCCTCTAGGACATTTCTGACTGTGGCGTTTAACAATCTTCACTCATTTTTCCATGCAAAAAACTTTTTTCTTATCCTGTTTGAGTGCAAAGTTTGTTTGTTTTTTATTTAACGCCCCACTCAGCAATATTCCAGCTATATGACGGTGGTCTGTAAAGAATCGAGTCTGAACCAGACAATCCAGTGATTGACATCATGACACGCTTCAAACCAAGTCGCCGAGGCTGACCACCCGATCCCGTTAGTCGCCTCGTACGACAAGCATGGGTTGCTTAAGACCAATTCTAACCAGGAATCTTCACGGGACTTGCAAAGGACAAGTGTTTTCGGACTTTAATAACAAAACATATTTGTTTGAACGACCCTTCATTCTTTTCCAGGGCCCAGTGGGTTGAGAGATCAGCGGGTCAACGTTCACGATAAATTCCAATCAGTGGGCATCGGCGCGCGATCGATGGAGACGACCAACAATATATCCTATCTGAACCGAAGCCCGCCGGCAAGCAATTTTCCCCGAGCTAAGCACGGACAGATAGGCGAGATTGGCTGGGAATTTGAGACGTTCGGCCTTGTGAAGGGGATCTAAGAACTGGGACACACCCATCTGACATGACCCCCCTCCCGTGGATGTCTCGAGGGTCACTGTTTGCCTTTGATCTTTTTCAGAACAATGGTTTATATAATTCCGACATGACATTACTAACAGCTGTGTTTAATTAAGATAAAGATCAAGATATATACTTTAAAGTAATCAAGATAGCCGTCAAGAAAGCATACATATGTGCAATTGTTTACAATACATGTCAATTTGGGATCAGCATTAACAGGGTATTTTGTTAACTATAGTCAATAAAAATTTACATAAAATAGGTAAATTATCTGACGATAACATGATCACAAAACGTTTCCTGTCGCATGCGTGCGTATGATTATACTGTGTTTAATCAGAGACCACATATACTCAAACACAAAAGAAACTGGAATGTTCTCATTTATCATAATGAGACAAACCTAAAACTCCTCTCTACTAAGTCTTAAAAAATGAATAAATACATCTAGTACTTGTGTTTCATTTGGCTGACGATAGGGTTTCCAATGATTTTATTTATTTCAAAATTAATAAATAGACAAATTCAAAATTTCAAATTAGAATTCCGCCTTGCATGGGTAAATATTTCGTTACTTACATTCGCCGTTAGGGAAGAAATCTTAGGCGTGGTTTTCACTTTGGTTCCAAGTATATTCAAATGATCACTGTCATTTGCTAGTGGTTGAGCATATATCGTGTATGGTGTCATGTTTAATTTAAGGAACTTTTTATTTGCTAATGCAAGGAAAGCTAGTGTATAGGCACCCGAAATGACTGTGTTTTTAACATAAATGAATTCAAGGGTTTTTAATAGAATCCCCTTTCTTTCACGAATTAGGATACGGTTATGGCGCTTTTGTCTTTATCTAACCGCGTGACGTTAACAACGTAATAATTCACCGTGTGAACTGACGGTAGACGTATTAAGTGGTGGCTCAGGTACGCTGAGTTGCGTCCCTTTGTTGTGCCAGGATACGATGATCGTGGGCTCAAATCATAGACTCTCCCTGATTATGATGCTTGGAATTGGAATCGAAATCCGTGGGTTTCCGAAACAGTTGTTCTAAGAACCAATTTCTGCCATAATATATATGAATACCGTTTCAGTATTATGTAAAACATGTCTCATATAATACATATTGTATATCTGTGATATCAACCGAGATACAGATTATTTATGATAATAACTATAACTGAGATATTGTTTGTCTGTGATAATAACCGATATATTGTTTATCGGTAATTATAGCCAAGATATGTTTATCCGTGCTAATACAAATGCCGACATACAGTTTTTCTGTGAATACAGCCGAGATGATCGAGGCCATACTGCGGTTCATAATTATGATATTGATGAATAATGTTGAGTAATGTAGCTTGTGTGATGTAAGTATTGACATGGTGTTTTCGTTTTCTGTTACAATAAAGATTAAATAAATATGTTATGTTATGTCTGTTTATGTATGTGCCATTCGGGTGGTCTGTGTATGTGTGTGAGACTGGGGTGGTCTGTCTATGTTGTGTGAGAGTGGGATGGTCGTCTTAGTCGTGTGACAGTAGGGTGGTCTGTCTATGTTGTGTGAGTGGGGTGGTCTGTCTATGTTGTGTGACATTTGGATGGTCCGTCTTTGCTGTGTGACGTTTGGGTGGTCCGTCTTAGTTGTGTGACATTGGGGTGGTCTGTCTATGTTGTGTGACAGTGGGGTGGTCTGTCTTAGTTGTGTGGCATTTAGGTGGTCCGTCTTAGTTGTGTGACATTGGGGTGGTCTGTCTATGTTGTGTATGACGATGGGTAGTCTATCTCTGTTGTGTGTGACGGTGGGTAGTCTATCTCTGTTGTGTGTGACGGTGGGTTGGTCTGTCTTTGTTGTGTGTGACGGTGGGTAGTCTGTCTACGTTGTGTACGACGGTGGGTGGTATGCCTATGTTGTGTGTGACAGTGGGTGGTCTTTCTATGTTGTGTGTGACGGTGTGTGGTCTGTTTATGTTGTGTGTGACGGTGGGTTGGTCTGTCTATATTGTGTGTGACGGTGGGTGGTCTATCTATGTTGTGTGTGACGGTTGGTGGTCTGTCTATGTTGTGTGTGACGGTGGATGGTCTGTCTATATTGTGTGTGATGGTGGATAGTCTGTCTATATTGTGTGTGATGGTGGGTAGTCTGTCAATGTTGTGAATGACGGTGAGTATTCTGTCTGTGTTGTGTGTAGCGGGAATGGTCTTTCTATGTTTTGTGTGACGGTGGGTAGTCTGTCAATGTTGTGTGTGACGGTAGGTGGTCTGTCTATGTTGTGTGTGACGGTGGGTGGTCTTTCTATGTTGTGTGTGACGGTGGGTAGTCTGTCAATGTTGTGTGTGACGGTGGGTGGTCTGTCTATGTTGTGTGTGACGGTGGGTGGTCTTTCTATGTTGTGTGTGACGGTTGGTGGTCTTTCTATGTTGTGTGTGACGGTGGGTGGTCTTTCTATGTTGTGTATGACGGTGGGTGGTCTGTAAATGTTGTGTGTGACGGTGGGTGGTCTGTCTATGTTGTGTGTGACGGTGGGTGGTCTGTCAATGTTGTGTGTGACGGTGGGTGGTCTGTCTATGTTATGTGTGACGGTGTTTGGTCTTTCTATGTTGTGTGTGACGGTGGGTGGTCTGTCTATGTTGTGTGTGACGGTGTGTGGTATTTCTATGTTGTGTGTGACGGTGGGTGGTCTTTCTATGTTGTGTGTGACGGTGGGTGGTCTTTCTATGTTGTGTATGACGGTGGGTGGTCTGTCAATGTTATGTGTGACAGTGGGTGGTCTGTCTATGTTGTTTGTGACGGTGGGTGGTCTGTCAATGTTGTGTATGACGGTGTGTGGTCTTTCTATGTTGTGTATGACGGTGGGTGGTCTGCCAATGTTGTGTGTGACAATGGGTGGTCTGTCAATGTTGTGTGTGACGGTGGGTAGTCTGTCTATGTTGTGTGTGACGGTGGGTGGTCTGTCTATGTTGTATGTGACGGTGGGTGGTATTTCTATGTTGTGTGTGACGGTGGGTAGTCTGTCAATGTTGTGTGTGACGGTGGGTGGTCTGTCTATGTTGTATGTGACGGTGGGTGGTATTTCTATGTTGTGTGTGACGGTGGGTGGTCTGTCTATGTTGTGTGTGACGGTGGTATTTCTATGTTGTGTATGACGGTGTGTGGTCTTTCTATGTTGTGTATGACGGTGGGTGGTCTGCCAATGTTGTGTGTGACAATGGGTGGTCTGTCAATGTTGTGTGTGACGGTGGGTAGTCTGTCTATGTTGTGTGTGACGGTGGGTGGCCTGTCTATATTGTGTATGACGGTGGGTGGTCGGTCAATGTTGTGTGTGACGGTGTTTGGTCTCTTTCTACGTTGTGTATGACGGTGGGTGGTCTTTCTATGTTGTGTGTGACAATGGGTGGTATTTCTATGTTGTGTATGACGGTGGGTGGTCTGTAAATATTGTGTGTGTGACAGTGTGTGGTCTGTCTATGTTGTGTGTGACGGTGGGGGGTCTGTCAATGTTGTGTGTGACGGTGTTTGGTCTTTTTCTACGTTGTGTATGACGGTGGGTGGTCTTTCTATGTTGTGTGTGACGGTGGGTGGTATTTCTATGTTGTGTATGACGGTGGGTGGTCTGTAAATATTGTGTGTGTGACAGTGTGTGGTCTGTCTATGTTGTGTGTGACGGTGGGGGGTCTGTCAATGTTGTGTGTGACGGTGTGTGGTATTTCTATGTTGTGTGTGACGGTGTGTGGTCTGTCTATGTTGTGTGTGACGGTGGGTGGTCTGTCTATACTGTGTGTGACGGTGGGTGGTATTTCTATGTTGTGTGTGACGGTGGGTAGTCTGTCAATGTTGTGTGTGACGGTGGGTGGTCTGTCTATGTTGTATGTGACGGTGGGTGGTATTTCTATGTTGTGTGTGACGGTGGGTGGTCTGTCAATGTTGTGTGTGACGGTGTGTGGTCTTTCTATGTTGTGTGTGACGGTGGGTGGTCTGTCTATGTTGTGTGTGACGGTGGTATTTCTATGTTGTGTGTGACGGTGTGTGGTCTGTCTATGTTGTGTGTTGCGGTGGGTGGTATTTCTATGTTGTGTGTGACGGTGGGTGGTATTTCTATGTTGTCTGTAACGTGGATTGTATTTCTATGTTGTGTGTGACGGTGGGTAGTCTGTCAATGTTGTGTGTGACGGTGGGTGGTCTGTCTATGTTTTATGTGACGGTGGGTGGTATTTCTATGTTGTTTGTGACGGTGGGTGGTCTGTCAATGTTGTGTGTGACGGTGTGTGGTCTTTCTATGTTGTGTGTGACGGTAGGTGGTCTTTCTATGTTGTGTGTAACGGGGAGGTGGGGTGGTCTTTCTATGTTGTGTGTGACGGTGGGTAGTCTGTCAATGTTGTGTGTGACGGTTGGTGGTCTGTCTATGTTATGTGTGACGCTGGGTGGTCTGTCTATGTTGTGTGTGACGGTGGGTGGTCTATCTATGTTGTGTGTGACGGTGGGTGGTCTGTCTATGTTGTGTGTAACGGTTGGTGGTCTGTCTATGTTGTGTGTGACGGTGGGTAGTCTGTCAATGTTGTGTTTTACGGTGGGTGGTCTGTCTATGTTGTGTGTAACGGTTGGTGGTCTGTCTATGTTGTGTGTGACGGTGGGTAGTCTGTCAACCTTGTGTGTGACGAGGGGTGGTCTTTCTGTGTTGTGTGTGACGGTGGGTAGTTTGTCAACCTTGTGTGTGACGGTGGGTGGTCTGTCTATGTTGTGTGTAACGGTGGGTGGTCTGTCTATGTTGTGTGTGACGGTGGGTAGTCTGTCAACGTGGTGTGTGACGGGGGGTGGTCTTTCTGTGTTGTGTGTGACGGTGGGTTGTTCTAGATCTGTCTAGATTGAGTTTTACACTTGGGAGGCCTGTCGGTGTTGTTTGTGACGGTAGGATGGTCAGTCTTTGATGTTTGTAATGATGCGTGCTCTGTCTACGTTGTCTGTAATGATGCGTGCTCTGTCTACGTTGTCTGTAATGATGGTGATGTTCACCTGTGTTGTTCGTTACAGTAGAGGGTCTGGCTGCGTTGGGTGTGACGGAGTTCCTGGTTAGACATCTCCACAGAACTTTTGTTACAAGTTGTGTGATGCGATTAAATTAAATTGGATGTGGAGGCTACATGACGTGATTGATGGCGTGGGACGTTGTTCGTAAACATTACTTTATTTGACCGAGGCTCCTTTATTTACATCCCGTCGTGATATAGCAGGAATAATATTGCTAACTGCGGCTTAGAACAAACCCTAAAATCAAAATAACAAACCAAAACACTTACGACTTAATGAAAATAATACCTCGCACTCTTTGATATTCATAAAACCGACAAATGGACTGTTTTTGTCTTGTGATTTATGTGTTCACCTGTAGCGTCGAACATTAACCATTAACCCAAAGATTTTAACTTAATCATTGGCTAAGCTGCATTTTATCCGAGTTGAAACGTGCACTTTAAATGATTGTGTACATGCTATTTGTATCCTTCATTATGATGAATAGTTTATATCGTATATTAATATCACCCGTTTAACGATTGGCATGGTACATTATTAAAACGTATTTTCAAAGGCATGATAGATACCAATCTTTGATAGCTTTTGACTAATGGTTACAAGCGTACATTTGGGACCAAAGCAATTAGGCCTTACATTAAAACCTGTGTCATTTATCGATTAGTAGTGCCTGGCTTTGACTTTGAGTTCAGAGATCGAGTAGAACGCATGTAAACTTGTCACATAACGAAAATTAATGAGATTGCCGGAAACCAACAACGTGGAAACAAACGTCAACATGTTTACATATAAATCGTACAACGACAGTCAATTATTCGACAAAGTAACTTTCGCTCTATTTTCTATTCGCACCTAGTTGGTGTATCAAAAATTAATAACGGAATAAATAATATATGAGTTGTAATTAAAGAAAACATTTCCTTCCACTGAACGCATGAATATTTTATGTGTGCTATGAATAATTTACTTAGTACTCCAATTATCCGTCGAGTTCGTTTTGAATAATTCACTTTGGGAGGAAATTGAATAAATGACGACCTTACGGCGGGAGATCCTGCGGCAGCCAAAGTGTGGAAGCCTATCAAAGTTTAACATGTTCCACGTACGTCCACTTCAGCTAACACAGACACACATATGTGTATATATACATGTATAAAAGATCGTATTACTCAAGGCAATATTTTTGTTTATTGATCTTAAGCCGCGACTATATCTAAATGTACCGCATCAAAGGTCATGGATGCCTCCACATACAATAGTCGTCAGTAATGATTTTCCCGTATACCACAGCAGTAACGGAAATTTCTTGCATATATTCAGCAGCCTATATGTGGTCAGATATCTAGGTTTAGTCCATACAATAGCAGACAGTTGCGGATATCTATATTA